CTTTTAAATATGAGCGTTCAGCATTGATGGTTTATGAGAGTTGACAAATGCCTTCTTGTAGAGATGAACTATACCACCACTCATTCAGATCCTACAAATTTTCTTCTACAGAGATTCTCCTGCCAGAGGATAATGAACATCTGCTGGAGCCTTCTGGAAATGTCTAAATCCATCTCCCGCTATCTATGCCTGTGGTGAGCTTTGCGTAATTTAAACACTGTTACATATTAGCCTCTTGGCTATTAAAAGTACAAACATACTGTAGGATTAAAGCATAATGTAGAATTAAAATACAATGTAAAATCTTCACATTTTGATGAAATTAATATTTTAACTGGTTTATTGGAGCCCAGTTAGTTGTGTCTCCAATGTGCATCTTTCTGCAAAGATTTAATTCGCTATACAAGCCACAGAATATTTATTTACTCAAGAATTCATATAATGGGTATGGTAACCCAGGATCAAAGACAGAAGAATACAGCAGAAAAATGCCTAAATAAGGTTGCAATAATCTCCATAACTATGACGATTGCATTCATAACGCTTTACTCATACATATGCAGTATTCCATAAAAGTATTTGAAAGCCATGCATTCCTTTAATGATGTTTAAAATGGAGATCCATCCAAAAGTGGAAGCTCCGCTTTTCTGCCTCCCCCCCCCCCCTCTCCACTTCCACATTTGGCACCTCTTGGGGGGGAGGGGAGAGCAGGTACCTAGTTGTGACAGGTACTGGCTTCCACTTCCAGCTCATTTTGCCCCCAGCCCTCTGGGACACTTCCAAGGTCCCAAAGGACTGCGGCCCATTCACAAAGTGCAGCATGCTTGGCGCTCCCCTTTGTGGGTAACCAGTGTCCAAAAGAGAAAGTTTATTACCTCCTATTTGAAAGTAATTATAAATATTTCTCAAATGCCAAAAAACAGGGTGGTAAAAGAGAGCTTCCAAGTATTAGAGAGAACTCCTGGGAAGCAAGCAATCTGTGAGCCCCATAACAATTTAATAAAAAATTAAAAAAAAATTGAAAAATATTATTTTATTTTACTTTTTTTATGTACTGTCATCAGTCAGTTTCCCTGATCACTGCCACACCAGTTATATGATGACACTAAAAATAAGAAAAATTAATAATAGCGCCTATGGTCAAAATTGTATAACTTACTAATAGTGTACCAGCTGCAAAAAAACCACCATATATAAAGTGTACCAATTAATAAATAATTTGCGCTAGTAAATATATATAAATATAATGTAAAGAAATCATCAAATCATAAGTCCAGAAAAAATATATATATACCAATACCACAGAAAAATATAAAAAACTTTTTAGGTGCAAAAAAACTTTTGTGCAAAAGGAGTGTCTCAATATAAAAAGTGTCTCATCCGCTCCGTGAGGACGTCGATGACGAAACGCGTAGGGCGGAGCTTGATTGATGTGATGTCATTACGTTTTTGACTGCCAGCTATTGCACATGTGCTGAGTAGTCAGGCTCATTTATGTGATTGCTGTTGATGCTGTTGATGCTGGTGTCGGCTGGGACACCTCTTGAGTAAGTGCAATGAGTATCTAAAAAGGAATTGGTTTTTATAATATTGCACCATGAAGTCTTTCTGTTTCTCTCGAGTGCTTGGCATTTCCCCCCATGGATACGTTTGAAGGTGGTCCTTTTTCTATTGGAGAAGTGGATTTTCGATTAACTACAAAGTTTTTCGTCCTGTTATTTCGATCGATGAGGATCGGTGTGTTGGAGAGCTTCCGTTTCTGAAGATATTTTTATGGATGATCTGCCATTATATTATCAAGGTTTTTTGGTGAAATTTTTTTTATATTGAGACTTTTTTATATTGAGACTCACTCCTTTTGCACAAAAGTTTTTTTGCACCTAAAAAGTTTTTTATATTTTTCTGTGTGGTATTGGTATATATATATTTTTCTGGACTTATGATTTGATGATTTCTTTACATATATTTTATATATATTTACTAGCGCAAATTATTTATTTATATGATGACACTGTACTGCATTAGTGACAGCAGGTTATAAAAAAATAAAATAAAATAATGAAAAAACTAAATGTTTAATTTCTTCATTTTCCACAAAATTATGACAAAAAAATGACAACTTCAAAAAACTTGCTATGCCTCTTAATAAATACCTCAGACTGTCTACTTTCTGAAAAGCAGTCATTTGGAGGGGGGTCGCTGTACTGTCCTGGTGTTTTTGGGCCTCATAAAATGAGATCGGCCGTCAGTATATCAGGATTGATCAATTTTCAGATTAATACCATAGTTTGTGGACTCTATAACTTACCTGCCAACTAAATAATATACACTGATTTGGGTTATTTTCACCAAGGAATGTAGCAGAATACATTTTGGCCTAAAAATTGTTGACATAATATTATTTTACTTGCAAAATTTTCTAAGAAAAACACAATTTTTTTTAAAGTTTTTAGCAAAAAAAACCAAAAACCCATGGTGACTAAATACCACCAAAACAAAGCTCTATTTGTGTGAAGAAAATGATAAAAATGTCATATGGGTACAGTCAGGGGCGGACTGACAACTCATGGGGCCCCCGGGCAATAGGGGATCATGGGGCCCCTGTGTCCTTGCCCAAAGTCAAAAAAGCCTATGAAAAAAGGTACCAGGGGCATCTCATGGGGCCCCCTACTGAACCCTTGGCCCTCTGGCAGTGCCCGAGTTTCCAAATCGTCAGTCCGCCCCTGGGTACAGTGTTGCTGATCACACATTTGTCAAATTGGCCTGGGCAGGAAGGTGGTAAAAGTGCCAGATAGGCAAGTGGTTATAGAGTAAGTAAAAGAGTGTGTGAGGCGGTAAAAGCAACCTGTCAAGTAAAAATTTTTTGTTTTGTTTTTTTAAAGCAGAACTCTGGGTAAAAACTTCTTTACATATCCTTGTTGCTGATTTCCTACCTTCACAGAATATATAATTCATCTTCTTCTTCGCTCAGTAGTTGCTCTGAAGTAGCCTATTCATTTTCAAATCAAACCGTTAATTCTCTTTGGTTTCCTTTTTGTAAGACCGGTGACTGCTGTGCCTCCTATTCCCCCCAGCCACTGGTCTTGGCACATTCCTTCTGTAGTTCTTTCTCCAGGAAGCAGTGATGTAATTCAACCGCACTTGCAGTGGTAAGCGGACTGATACTCTCAGACACATTCAACATGTACAGGCCTAGTGTACCTGCACACATTCACTAAAACTCCCTGTGGTTGATGGGAACTGTAGTTTCCTTTTACTGCAAAGAGAGAGAGGAGAGGATGTGATGCAATCCCTGCTGCTACATCAGCATATTGGCAAAGCAGAAGCTGTTATCTTTTGAATTACAGAGATGAGGTCATGAAAATTCAATTAGACTTTTATCAATGGTAAGGATTTAAAACATTTTATTAACTGTTTAGTGTTTTTTGTAGGGGGATGTATTAATGGGTGATTTTTTTTTTGCCTATCCCAGATTTCTTTAATTAAATAGTCCTCTGTTTAACCCACTATTAACCCTTTATTTACTCTAATCAACCCTAATTACCTTATTCTCCATTCAATTCTATTATTTTCCTCCAGTTTTTTTGTTAATTTGTATTTTAGAAAATATTATTAAAACTTTTATTTTTGCTTAAGTTTGCTTTGTCTGGTAAATATTTTTTACACCTTTAACATATATTTACACATTTCAACTTGAAAAAAATACATTTATTTATTTGATCTGTAAATTAACTTTTCAATGCTTTGTACCAGAATCATAATTTTAGTTTCATTTTAAACAGAAGAAAATTAAAGAATAAAATGTGCAAGTTTTATAGGCAGTAACGCTGTTTTATTTTTAAACTAACACTGATCAAAAAAAAAGAGTGCATTTTATTTATTTTTGTTACATTTAATTGTCTAACGACTGTAAAAAAAACACATTGTTGGAGGACAATATTCACAAAAAGAAAACCTTTTTTATCCTTTAAAAAACATAATACATATATTGTTTTTTAAAGTACTGACAAAGTTATCGTCAAACTGACAGGTCCATAGCAGAAATGTAAAAATTTCTCTGGTCCATAAGGGGTGAACAGGTGTAAGAGCCGAATTGGCTAAGGAGCGGGCCACCGCATCCTTAACCGATCACTTGTTCAGCTGTCAAGTAAAGTGTAAACAAAATAGTTGCCGGCAAGTATCCGCGAGTAAAAAAAAAAAAAAAGTATCGGTACTTGTACTCGCTGTAAAAAAAAATGGTATCGGTGCATCCCTACTTCCTACGTAAGTTGTACTTGTATATCTGCAGTCTTCTCTACACTTGTTCAAAGTACTGATTTTACAAAGCTTGTCTGAGAGATCAGAAAAAAAGGGTTGGAGAGCTGAAATTACAACACTGCAGAGCTCAGTGAGAAGAGCTCTGAGAGCAGATTGGAGGAAAGGGACACATCCCCTCCACACAGCACACAGGAACAGAGCTGAGGCTGTCAACCTACTGGAGTTCCTTCCTCTGTCACCATTTTCTCTTGGTTTCAGGAAAACTTGGCAGAAGTGATTTATGCTGATTGCAGAGGAACGAAGCAGCAGACAGAAATGACACTTAGTGCTCCTAATTGAGACATGCACAAATGATAGAGGGATATGCTTTGTTCATATTTCACATCTGCGGTTTACAACCACTTTAAGTCTTATCCCCATCTAAGGACCCATTCACACTACAACACATAAAAAATTAGCCTGCAGTCAACACCACTTTCTTGCCTTTTTATGTGTGTTTTCACTAGTTTTTCTGCATTTTTTTCATAGGCAAGTTTCCTTCTGACCTAATTGTTGTGGGTGAGAGGTATGTTGTGGTGTGTTTATGTGTGATGACATGCATTTATGTATGTTGTGGTGCAATATTTTACAAGTGTGTTGCATAAAATCGCACTGCTATGGAACACAGCGTTCTGGTGTGAACATGACATACAGAAAACTATTGTTTTTTATGTGTCATGCAGAAAGCAAAGGTAACTGCACATAGTTTGAATAGGTTCTAAGGCTAGGTTCACATCTAAGCATTTTGTGTAATGCAGAAATGCACTACAGTCCATTTAACATGATTTTCTATGGGTGAAGTTCGAATCTCCGTGTTTTCAACCAGGGTGATATTTGGATAGGGTCAGGAATTTTTTTAAATGCAAAACGGTGCTTTTTGGTTCAAAAGTCTTCAATGGAGATGCTGCAAAAATGCATATAGTACATTTTTGATGCATTTTGTGTTTTTAATCTGCCCAGTAATAAGTTGGCCAAAAAAAAAACATCCATGAACACACAACATACATAAAAAAAAAAAGCTTGACAAATGCATGAAAAACGCAAAAAGCACTGCAGAAATGGATCAAACACACCTATGCAGTTTGCATTGATCCGTCTACAGTGCGATTTGCATTGCGTTTTGCTCATGGGTTTTTGCCATGTTTTGCATTTTTTAATTTTATTTATATTTTCTTGTTCCTAGGCAGATTTAAAACGCAAAACACATAAAAAAACGAAGCAAAAACGCACTACATGATTTTCTGCAGCGTTTCCATTGAAGTCTACAGAACCAAAAATGCAACTTTTTGCATTCATAAAAGTCCCTGACCCTTTCCGAAAAACACCCTGGGTGAAAACGCGGATATGTGAACGTGTCCCATAGGAAATCAGGTTAAATGGACTGTAGTGTGTTTCTGCAAAACGCTGCAGAAAACGCTTAGGTGTGAACCTAGGGTAAAGGGATGCAGGCACAGCAGGTTTTCTTTTTTAATTTTGCCCAGGTGATTATAATGAAGACCAATCCTCCTAATCAGAAATCCTTTTGAGATAGCACATGGTGTTACAAACAACAATTTCTCCATAAAAGAGAAAGGTAGGATTCTGCAATTGTTTGTAATGCTTGTAATGTATAAAACATTGAATGAATTTTATTTTTTAGAAAAAATGCAGCATTTTAATTGGTTTCTGTTGAAAGTAGTGCTAATGGGTGCAAGTCTGATGAAGGTGTCTTTATTACTAAATTAGCAAAGGTAGTAGTGTGATGTGCATAGGTCAGTGCTCTCTTTCCAGCACTGTGGAATGCATCAAATTACTATATAAATGTGCAATAATGACAACGTGCAACTTTTTATGGGTGCATTAGACCAGTGGTTGTCAGTCTGAAAATAATAGAGTGCCTCAAATGCCACACCCTGCTGCCAACTTGGTGCCCAAATATTGAACTAAGCCCTAATTGTAAATCATATTTGGCAAATAACAAATCTATGCCGGACGAGGGTGCGTGTCTCTACACACTATCTGGCCAATTGATGAATCCAAAATATAACCTTTATTCAGATATATATATATATATAAAATGTAAAAAATGTAAGCTCAGCTATAATTACCTATTGGAGTGGAATGTACTGCATACAATATGACTGGATACCATTGCAATTGTTTACCTTACATCCAAATGGTGAATAACCCCAGACCAAATCAAATACCTACCGTTTTAGATGAAATGACGGTATAAAGAACACTGTAGTTTGATCACAAGTCTATGAGCCTGAATATATAATCTCTATTAACCTCCCTGGCGGTCTGATTATGTCAGTATTTTTGAATGTCAAAGCGGTAAGTTGTTTTATTTATTTATTACAGGTACTTATATAGCTCCATCAATTTATGCAGCGCTTTACATATATTTATTTATATTTGTACATTCACATCAGTCCCTAACCCTCAAGGGGCGACCAATCTAAGGTCCCTAACTTACATTCATACATATACTAGGGCCAATTTTAGACAGGATCCAATTAACCTACCAGCATGTCTTTAGAGTGTGGGCGGAAACCTACGCAAGCACAGGGAGAACATGCAAACTCCAGGCAGATGGTGCCGTGGTTGGAATTTTGCATGGATAATTGTTGTTTTATATTGTAGGCATGTAATTCTTAGGAATAACTCACTTAAATCTGTCCAAACGAGAGTCTAGTAAACATCCCGGGTATGATAAAGGTTGAAACAAGAAATCACAAATTATAATATAAGTAATTATAAAAAATAATATAATTTAATTCAATAATGTAATCAAACCAAAAACACTGAAATTTGTCCAAACAAGGGTGCAATATTACTAGACACTGTATATTGGTTTAGTAAACCTCCCGGATATGAAAAATTTTGAAACATGGGACTGCACAAAGTCTAACGTCACTATCAGGTCAATGGAACATGGTTTCCGTTCTGATTTTCTTTCCTCTGTCATCTTGTTTAGAGCAACAACCCACGCACATCCTTGTAGGTGCTGACTTTTTCTCGGTTGGTGGAATGTAGTCCATGAAGTGATGACCAGCCAGGCGTTCCGGATTGACAACGCCAACAGCACGACGACCTCTATTCACAGCCATTGATGGTGTTTGGTGGTTCACAAAGATACGTTAGGCAATTATCCAAAAGAAGTCAGAATGAATCACAAGCTTTTTTTTTTTTTTTTTTTTTTTTTTTTAGCAGAATGTAGGTATTCCACAAGCATTGCTCAAGAAGATGCCTTAAGATCTTCTTGTACTATTTCTTTTGCTGTTTCCTCATTGCTGGGTAGAATGTCATTGATTGGTCGGCTCTGTCAACACCTCCCATGGTGTTATTGTAGTCTATCACTACTTGTGGCTTCATGATTTCTTTCCCACCTTTTGTGCGTACCATAACAGTGGAGGTATTATGAATTGTATTCATTAGGCCCACATCTTTCTTGTCACACCATCGCAGTGCCATCATTTTGCCTTTCTGCCAGGCAACCATTTCTACAGTCTTCAGCTTCTTATTGCCAAACATTGCGGCATGTCTCACCGATTAGCGCTAACGGTTCCATAGCAATTTTGTTTTGTTTTGCAGAAGAAACTCATAAAGTTCAGGAGACATATAAAAGTTGTTGGTTATTACGCAATAGCCCTGATTTAGAAATGGCTCAATTAGTGAAAGAACGGAAGATGCTACCATTCCATAGTTGCTGTGTTTTGGTTTGAATTTTGTTCTTTTTCCAGTGTAAATGACTGAATTCCAAATGTAGCCAGTTGATGATTTGCATAGCATATAGATTTTACGTCAAATTGTGCTCTCTTTGATGCAATGTATTGTACCCAGCTGAGCCTTCCCTTGTATGCTATTAGACTTTAATCTATGCTGATATCTCACATGGCACATAGCTCCATTGGAAATTCTTTAGAATCATTTGAGATACTTCCCAAATTTTCTTTAGTTTTGGTGCAGGATAAATAGTTTCATCAAATTCTTCGTTGTTTTCGAAATTTAAAAAATTTAATGATCAAAGAAAATATGTGCTTTGACATGACCATGCCAAACAATGGGCTGGCAAGTAATTTATCAGTTGACCAATACCACTTCTGCAGGGGTTTCCCACCACTCCCTGAAGTATTATTGGGTTCAGAAATTTCCAAATGTCATCTTTGGTCACTGGTTCCCACTTTCTGCTTCATGAAAACTTCAGAGTACTTTTGACCTAAAGGGATGCTTTTTGGATGCCATGGACTTTCTCAAGTTTCCAGGCAGAAAGAACGGTAAAAGTGCAAGCAGGGCAGTGGACAAAGCACTAGGGACAAAACTGAGGTGAAATGGTTTGATACAGTAATGTAATCCTAATAGATTACAATGTACTGTGTGTATGTCATATAACTTTTTTGAATTTCCTGCCGGTTCAGCCACTCTATGTCCCGACGCTTGCAGGAAACGGAACCTGGAAGTCGAATGCCGGCATCGGCCAGAGGACATGGCCGGAGGACACAGCGGGAGGACATTGTGGGATCACAGGACAAGGTAGGATCGGGGGATCACAGCAGAAGCGCTACAGTGTAATCCCGAGTGTGGTACTGTAAATTAACCCTGAGCCACACTCGGGATTACCCCCAGGGAGCTTAAGGAAATTGAGGTTACCCCATGGACAAAACTAATTAGATAGTATTATCTGTCTTGCTACAGATATGTAATATGGGTACACTTATCCATGGGCTTAATGTCAACCTCTAATGAACAAGCCCCATACATCACTATATCCAATCAAAAATACCTCACTGTCTTGAGGAATGCAAATGATACACTGTAAAGCGCAGTACAGACCTCTCCAAATACGGGGGGGAGAAGAGTAAATACCATGTGCATTCAAAAAGTGCTCCCAAAGAAAAGAAAAAAAAGAAACTCTACATGGTTCGCGCCAAAAAAAGAGCTTCGTCAGGAGTTTATGGAATTAAAATGGGTTACATAGTGGCTGGAAGTTGTGCTCTGCTTCACGTGGTGGCAAAATGGCACCTATCAATTGTTTCACACCTCTATATATAGAGACGCTGTCTATCAAAATGGCCACATACTCAGTTCCTCAACAGAAGCCATCTTGGGGACAAAAAACACCAAAACAGTAGTGGCATCTATTGTTTATTTCACCTCTATATATAGAGATGCTGCACATTAAAATGGCCCCCACACATGCTCAGTACCTCAACAGATGCCATCTTGTGGACAAAAACACCACGGCTGTCAGGAATGGACTCGCCAATGGTGGTGGGACTCACCTGCCTTGTGGGCTGCAGTACCAGGGCTAGCCAGCGGGTGCTCTCAGCAACCAGAAGCTCACTCCTGCAGTCAGCCATCACCTGAGGCTGATTGCAGGAGGTGTATTTAAGGAATGGCCAGACCTGCAGTCAGTGCCTTGTTGTACTGTTTTGCTTGGCCCCGGTATCCTGATCCTGCTTGCTTCTACCCTGATTCTGCACGAACTCTGCCTGTACTGACCTCGGCTAGTCCTGACCACTCTCCCGCCTGCTCCTGGTACCTTGCTTGCCCGTTTGTTACCGACCTGGCCTGCCTGACTACGTTGTATGTATGGTTGTTTGTTGAAGCTTTGGTTTGTTGCACTGTGTTATGTTTGCACTGCGTTTATGTATTGTTAGGCTTTAATAAATTGTATTGTTATACTATACCTGAAGCCTGCGTTTCCCTGTGTCAGTCCACACACTTCTGGTCATACCCAGATTCCTGACAACAGCAGTACATCAATCCACAACACAATATACACTGCTGGTGCTCTCAAACACTGTTAATGCCCCACTAGTTAAGTACCAAAATTACAGTTCATACCATTATATAGCATTTATGGGGCCAAATCAAACAAAAAAAAGACAGAATCCCTAATTACACACAAAAAGAAGGAAGTTAAAACCTTCATTTAAACCATAAGGTGCCCTTGAGTCTAAATGGAAAATCCATTTTGCTTCAAGTTTCAAAAGACATTTATCTAGGTCTCCTTTTCTAGGACCCAGATTATATTTGTCAATAATCCAAAAGTTTACCATCATATTTTGTATCATATGTCTTGCTACTGGTCTGTCCTTATTTCAAGCAATATCGTTCACATGTTGAAGAACTCGTCTCCTAAAAGGGAGAATTGTTTTTCTTACATATATTAGGGGGCATGAGCATTTTAAAGCATAAATCACCCCCTCTGTACTACAATTATAGAAATCTCTTATTTTAATAATCTCCCCATTTTTAGGGTTAATCCTTGGTATTGCTCAAGAAAGTACGTGCCAGACAGTGACCACACCTGAAACTACCTTTTGGTTTCTCAGGTAGCCAAGTGTGTTTCATTGATGTTTTAGAGGTTTTTTTCTAGATGTACTAACATGTCTCTCAAATTT